CCACTCACACCATGTAACGATGATGATGATGATGTATGTTCAGGGCTGCATTACAACATTGATTGTTCGGATCACTGGTATCTAAGTCTTCCGCTGTGTTATTACTTTGTATTGAAAGGTCGGTTCTTGTTCTGGTCTGCACGTTACAGTATGCAACATTGTGCCTCAGGGTCACATCAAAATTCTTTACCAAATTTAAAATATAAAACATTTTTTATTTTTTTTTATTTTTTAAATCATTTTAGCCCGGCCGGGCAAGTGACCCCGGGCCACTCTGGTAGACTAGCCGGAAACACAATATGTTGTTCAGAATTGCCAGCCAACACTCGCAAAAAGAAAAGAGGCTCGATTTCGGCTCCCTCCCAGAGAGCGCGGAAAACCCCCACCACCAAAACAAAAATCATTTTTTTTTCCATGCCCAGGTATCCCAGGAGTCACGCCCAGGTATCCCAGGCGTCACGCCCGGGTGACCAGCTGGTCATGAAAATGTTCCTAGACTTAAGGGGACTCAAAGGGATTAGAGGGGGTTGCCTTAGTTCGAGTTGTTTTTTTTTGTTTCAGTTGACTATCTAGCAAGGAACTCTGATGTGAGTCATGTGACCCTCAGCCAAAAGTTGCTTGTATTGCAATTCTAGTAATTCTACGAGTCCCCACCCGGAGGTTCAATGAGCAAAGAGTTTGGAACCCAAAAAGTACGAAGTGAAATCATTCGGAGGACTTCATCCCCTTAGACATAATCCTAATCATTCTCATCATGGGGCCATGTGAGCCTCGAACCCATCATGGGTGGAGCGTTCAGAGAGTGAATAGGGAGCTGCTGGTGAACGCCGCAGTCAGGCATGCCTCTAAGGCCACCAAAGGCATAGGGTGCTATAACATAGGGGCAAGTAACGCTGAACCCAATCCGCTGGGAAGCAGCACCCTACCCTCAACCCAAACGTGAGTCCATCTCTGAACCCAACCCTGAAGCCAACCATGAATTTAACCGCGGACTCAACCCTGGACCCAAACTCAGGCATGCCTCAAGGCCAGGCTTACGGGACAATGATAGGTTCACTACACTACAAGCATAGTTGAGCTTCATTCGAATCGACGAGTTACATTCGTGTTTTCAAAAAAAAAAAAAAAAAAAGTTGTTCTTTTGCTATTGCACAATGTTCAACTATGTTCGTGATTGTCGAACTGATGAGTGAGCAACTTACCTTCCTGGAGGAGCACTCAACCCTGAATCCAACCTTGAAACCTAAACCCCGAACCCAACCCCAGGCATGCCTCAAAGGCCACTAAAGGCATAGAGGGTGCTATAACATAAGGGGAAGTAACATTGAACTCAATCCTCTGTGAAGAAGCACCTTACCCTCAACCCAACCCTCAACCCAACCCTCAACACCAACCCTAAACCCAAACCCTAGGTGCGTGAACCCAACCCTGGTTGCACAAGCATAGCACTAGAAGCGAAACATTGAGGGCAGTCAAGCTAGCAAAAAGAAGTAAATGGACTTTTAGATATTTTGCTGTTAAGTGGTCAGTCTGTTGGCGCTGGCCCTGTCACTACCACATTCAGCCATAACCAAAGGATGATAGGACATCAATGTCAATACTTGGCAGGACATTGGTCTTACCCCCCCCCCCCTTCCCCCCCTTGAATTTCTTTTTTTTAAAGACTAGTAAAAGCCCATGAACACAATGTACTAATAATAATAATAATAATAACACTAAAATTATATGAATAAATATAATTTATTAATTTCATGAAAGTTATTCGAATATGATCAAGATGAAGAATTCTCCCGCCGGGACATCCATTACAATGGGAAAGGTACAGAAAATAGTAAAATACTAATTAGCTTGGCCTCTGCGCATTCAAGGATGACACCCAAAATTTGTATTTAATACTTATGGAATATATCCTTTTTTTAAGTTTTTAACAGGTCCTTATGGTCCTGGCTCCATATCCATTCTGGGAAGTGTCAGTCCGGTTCCTATTCCCCCGGCAAGTCAAAAACGGATTACATCATATTACCCACTCAACGCTTCCTTCCGTCTGGCCGAAGGACCCCTGATCAGCATTGATTGCTCCTTCTAAGGAGGATTGACTGTCAGCTTGCCCCGACCATTTGTTCCTCTCAGGCTTCTATTTAGAGCCTGTCAAATGAGTCCCTGTAATACGAGAACAGTGGGGGGTTCCGCTTTGTGTTCTGTTGCTTGTCCTTGTCTTTCGCTGTGTGTCCGGTCCTCTTTTTGTTGATCACCATTCAGAACCTTCTGCCAGGTCTCCCGGCATGTATCCTCGTGGTCTTCATGCTTCTGCCTGGTGCCATTGCTTCCATCTCAGTCTACTGCCTACTATCGTTGCCACCTTGCCTTTTAGCAACCAGATCCTTATGAAAGTCCGTTTCTTGGTTGCTTGTCTTTCTGGTCTGTGTCTCGTAGAGTTTGCTATTCTCCGCCATCTGCTCCTGATTTCCGTCTCTGCCATGCTCAGCAGTAGTGACCACATTTCTTCTCTTGCCACCTCTGTTCCCTCGATTGTCTGAGTACATCTGCGTTTCTGGAATATATCCTAAGTTAGTCTCGATAGGAAGGCGTTTTGAGTATGGACCATAGTTGTGGCGCACCTCGGTGCGCTGATTTGCACACGAATTGCGCACCGCGGGCAGCGCACCGCACAGTGCACTGAAGCACAGCGCAATGGAAAAATTGGGTCCAAAAAAAAAAAAAAAAAGTACGGGTTTTGTAATTCTTAGGGCGCCGAACTAGGCAAAAATGTTAAACTCACCGCGCGAGCTCGGAAACCGGCCGCGCCCCCGACCGAATTTTTCTTTTGGGCAAGGGCTGCCGAATTTCGATTTCCGCAGGCCCTTCCCCCAAAAGTTTCAGAATGGCAAAGCATAAAATAGGGCTCATTCCAACTTTTTTTTTAGGCGGGGTTTGGAAGCTGTCCTTCCCCCTCCCTTCTGCAAATCCCACACAGTGGTGGGGTAAGTTTGCAAGAAGGGGGTACTCGCCTAATAACGACCTGCCCTGCGAAGATTCGCAGATGTCACAAGTTGCATTTCCATGGCCAGCCAACCACCAATATATGCTGAAGATTGGCGTTCAGGTCTGCATGTCGGCAGTTATGGGTTAGGATGAAGAATCATTGAAGATGCCCGTAGCTCTCTCGTTTTTTTGTTTTTGTTTTCTTACGAATACGTCCAGTGGGGCCTACACTACTCACCAAATGCACAAAAGACATAGCATATGGCGGTGTATGGTTCCATGTTTTAGCAGAAGATTCATTCTACTAATATTACATATATTTGGCGAGTGGTGGAGGGAGGCCCTGAGAATCACATGGAGACACGAACAGGGTCTAGCTGAATTGGTGACCCATAACTGCCAAGCTACAGCCCTGAACTCGAATCCACAGCATATATTGATGGTCTGCCCCAACCTTTTCCCCACATGACGAGGCCATCCTTCTCATTGAAACAGTGGCCCTCAATGGTTCCACATGTATTGTAGGAGCCATTCGAGGTACCTGTGGGGGCCCTCGAATTGACGTGAAGGGGACCCTTTGTTCTCTCTCTCTCTCTCTCTCTCTCTCTCTCTCTCTCTCTCTCTCTCTCTCTCTCTCTCTCNTCTATCTATCTATCTATCTCTATCTCTATCTCTATGTGGGCCTGTCTTTTTTTTTTTTTTATCGCGCACAGGGCACACCTCCCTCACCTCGCGCGCCATGCACAGCGGACCGCACTGCGCACTGCGCATGGCGCACAGTGCACGCGCTGTCATTCCAGCGCACCGCCCCACACCGCACTGCGCACTAGTGCGCCACAACTATGGTATGGACTGAAATCAGGGAATTTCTGCTGCTAGGTTAGAAAAGCTTATCTGGCGGACTTGAGATAGTCTGAAGAAGTAGCAATTTTGTTAAAATTTTGTTAAATAGGCACAGCTGCTCAGTTAACCCCCCAGTCTCACCGGGGCAGTCAATGCTGGCAGCCAGATACCCCCTTACCCTCTGCGGTCTATCAAATGTTCAATTGGCACGCTGGACCCATTTTCCAGCAGGTAAGGCTCCCCACCAATAGATTGGAGTAACTGGGTTGTGCATTACGGGAGGTTGCTCGTATCACCTTGGGTACCAACGCTGGAATGGTTTTGCCTTAAACCACTAGTACCTCCGAGCCTCTTTTCGACGAGTACTGGTCTACCTCCGAACTTTCAGGAGGCCGAGCCCGCCGTTGATAAATCTGATCAGCGGCCGTCATTTCGTTTCGGCCTCCTGAAAGGTCGGAGGCCGAGTATTTTCAAACCGACAAAGGTATTAGTGGTTTAAAAAAAAAAGAAAAAAACAGGGTCTCTAGCCTTTTTGCTTTGGGTCCTTTCTTTGAGACTGTTGGGAGTAGAGGATAACTTCAATTAGCTTGCTTCAGGGCTTGGGTTCTAAAACATGACGAAACTCTGAACTCCCAGGGTGGTGGCATTCGGGAGGTCGTGGATTCGATCCCCAGTGACCACCTGCGGCACTCTTGGTGCCAACCAACTGAGATAGTTGGCTTGCTCCCACCTCTCGATATTGGTAAGGTCTTTTGGCCATCACGGGTGTGCGTGTGTGTGCGTGGGTTGTGTGGGTTGTATGCGGTGTGTGGGAGAGTGCTGGCTATAGATAGTGCTGTTAATCGATGGGGGAGGGGGGGAGTAGATGGGAGGTGCAACTTCTGACAAAATGCTTGGTCTTTGCGTTAGCCGGCCCCTTCACCGGGGGCCCCACCCTACTCCCCGACCACCGCCGATCAGGGTGGGGGCCAACATGCATCCCCTTGATTGCGAGAGCTCGCTATGCTTGCAAGGGTCCAATGGATAGGCTTAGGAGTAGTGGTAGGTAGGTAGGTAGGTAGTGAAAGGTGAAATTGAGAGAAGAACATAGCTTAGTTTTTCAATGAAAAAGAAATGGTCTAAATAAATTCTCTTTAAAAACAAACGATTTTAAAAAGGAAACGATCCCCACTTACTCGAGGAGCCAATAACATCGCCGTTGAAACCTTTCATTCTCCTCTGCACGTGCATAGTAGCAATGCAAGATCTCCAAACTACCTGCCTGGAAAGCAGAAGAAAAATGACAAAAGGAAAAAAAAAAAAAAAAAACACCAAGAAGTTGGCAAGAGTGAATCTGCACACATTCTGCACTAGCGCCAAAACAGTCAGCACAAGCCTGAGGGTATACTCACACTAGCACTTTTCTAAATGTATCCGACTGGAATCACGTCCACCCCAGGATGCATCTGAATGTAATCGCGTCCACAGCTCAGTAGAAAAGGTTGTCGTTTGAGTATATGCTCCGAGAGGACTTTGCAGGAAAGCAGGAAATGGCAGAAACTAGATTAACGTGCGGGACCATTTGGCCTTATTCTGGTGGGATTATTTGTCCCATACACTAGATTAACGTGTGTATGGGACACTCCTGGGACACTCCTGGCATCAGGAGAGTCCCATGCACACGTCAGAACAACACGCACATGTTCTGCACTACTGCTAAACCAATCAATGACAGACACTGCAGGTACCATGGAACACTGGGGCCTGGCCCTTATTCTAAGGTTCTGGCCCTTTTTGTGGCAGCCTGGCCTTATTCCAGAGCCTCGCCCTTATTTCACTGACTGGCCCCTTATTCTGGTGGGACCACTTGTCCTTAGTGTTACGATCCTGGCTATTTCCGAAGTGCAAATTCACAAGGAAAGACCATGCCACCCAATTGCAAAAGAAATGAAAGCACTTCCAAAGAGATAGAGACCAAAGAAGAAGAAGAAGAAGAAGATGTACACCAGCAAGACCAATGACAAATCCCCCTTCTATCTCCGCTTCCTTCCTCCTCCTTGTCTCCGCCAATCTTATTCTTCTACCAAATAATAATAATAACAATGAGTGGGTGAACCAATCAATATCCGAAGTTCCCTCTTACTGCCACCTTAAAAAGAGGTCCACCACAGCCATGGCCTCCCTCTCCTTCTTCCTCACACAGGCCTAGGCTATGGCGGACTACTAAGGGCTCTGCCCTCCTGTGCAAAGGACAATGCAAAGCAGCTATGGCCGCTGGTCTTCAGGCCGCCATGCCCGACTCTGCCTCGAAGCTTCCTTAGTGTGGCACTAACCCCACTGTGGCCTTCCAGATGCAGCGCCTAACAAGGTGATGAAGATGGTGTCCACCATAGCCAGGCCGGTACCTCACGACTCCCCTCCTTCACCTCCCTTCTTCCTCCTCCTCAAGCTGGGCTGCTCGCCATAACCAGGCAGAGCACCCAGCTCTCCTCCTTCCTCCGAGGCATAACCTTGCATATCACAAATGAGGTAGAGCTCAGCGCTCTACCTGGAGATGTGGCGGCCTGCTTGCCTCTTGGGCGGTGGCTTCCAGGCTGCAGGGCCTCCAAGCAACCGGTACCTCCTCCTCCCTTTCGGAGGGAAACAGCATTGCAGGCTCTGATATCGTCCGCAACAGGCCCTAGACTCAGGCTACTTGGACTGGTACCTGCCTACCTCTGGCCTACCGCTACCGGGCCTTTAAAAAATGTCAACTTTTTGTCTTCTTCTGCTTGGCCTTCAGTTCCTGACACATCTACCTGTACTTGAGTGGTACCGGCATACCTGCTACTTGAGTGTTTTTCCCTGCTCGCCTAGGTGTCGCGGGGCTACTCCCCGCTAGTTATTGTTCCCTCGCTGCAACCCTCAAAATCAAGGCCACACGTAAGTACCGCCCCCGCGGGCCTCACAACGCACAAGTGCCCTGTCGGGCCACACACACACTCAGGCAGATGTGCACTCAGACAGGCACATGAACCAGCAAGCACGCACACACACACAGACTTAGAAAACCAAGCAGAACGAGGGAATCTCAGCATGGCATACATTCCAGCGGCAGAACTTCAGAAATCAGCAGTGTTCTCAGTCTGTGTTTTGGCGGGTCATTACATTAGTCAACGTTCCCATGTTCCCCAGAATAAGGGCCAGGCCCCCACAATAAGGAGCAGGCTCCAGAACAAGACCCAAGCCCCCAGTCCCTTTGGACATGTAATTAAATTGGAAGCCCCCAGTCCCTTTGGACATGTAATTAAATTGGAACGATACAAAAAAGATGAGCATGGGCCCTGCACAAGGATGACACACATAAATCAAGAAATGGTCCAATAAAGACAAAAGGGCCAGGGCCCCATTAGACCCCAGAATAAGAACCAGACCCTAAAATAAGGGCTAGACCCACAAAATAAGGTCCAGCCCCCCAGAATAAGGGCCAGACCCCCAGAAGCCACCAGTGCCTGCCTGGTGCACCGTAATGGTGGCTTACCGAAACAGGAGCTTCAATTGCTCCCTCAGGCTGGAGCCAAGCCCATGGAAGGTCTTGTGTTTGTTCAAAGCCACCAGCACAGTGTGCAATATTTTTTCAAACGTAAGAATTTTCCCACTCCGAACAAGATGAACACCGGTCGCCGCCAGCCCCCATACATTGAAAATGCACCCTCCAGTGGCTCCATGTTCAAGGCCACAAGTTCGACTTTTGAAGTGATTTCGTCATTGAACAAGTCCGAGTCTATTACGTTCAAGGCCATCGATACTGGCAGTTTGCAAAACAAAAAGACAGAAACGAAAATAAAACAGCCCATACTCCAGCAATTCCAGTCCCTGCTCCAGAGTTCTACAAGTGCATGACAGGATCTACCTGGGATCCCTAGAAAGCATATAGAAAGAATATTTCTCAAACTATTTTTGTATACGGGATGCTGGACCCGATTTCCAGCAGGTGGAAAATAATAATAATAATAATTAAAAAAAAAAATGCGAGGGAGAACAAGAGGGAGGATTAAAGCACAAAGTAATTTCGCCGTTTCATTCCTACCTTCAGTTTCTCGTGTGCCTCCTTTATGTTTTTTCCATCACGCTTTTTCTGCCATGAATGGCCATCTTTCCGAAAATACCGGCATGCCTTCTTGTCAAAAAGGAAGAGGCTTCCACCTGTCAGAACTCGTCGGAGATCGCCCACACACACCACACCAGAGCAAATGTGTCAATCTCAAGAGAATGTATCGCATATGTACATCAAATGTATGGAGGGGAGAGAGAGAGAGAGAGAGAGAGAGAGAGAGAGAGAGAGAGAGAGAGAGAGAGAGAGAGAGAGAGAGAGAGAGAGGGAAGCAAAAGGTGTGCGGAAGCATAAAGAGTTGAGACAGGAGAGGAAGAGGACACTGGAGTATCAAAAAAGACGAACAAAAGTGCGCAGATTTGACACAGGTGGAGATAGAGGAAAAAAAAGGCCACAGAGCAGAAGCAGCTATAGAGGAATGAAGGAAAAGCAAGGACAACAAAGTGGGCGGTGGAGGGGGGCGGAAGGCAATGACAACGAACCACATTATGATCTGTTCAAGCATACTGTAATGACCCGCCATAACACAGACTGAGAACACTGCTGATTTCTGAAATTCTGCCGATGGAATGGATGCCTTGCTGAGATTCCTGCATTCTGCTGAGTTTCTAAGTCTGTATGTGTGCGTGCTTGTTGACCTGTGTGCCTGTGTGAGTGCTTGTTGGCACGAGTGTGTGTGTGACCCGCAAGGGTACCTGCTTGTTTGGGAGGCCCGTAGGGCCGGTACTTACCTGTGGCCGTGATATTAAGGGTTGCAGCAGGGAAAACACTCGAGTAGCGGAGCCAGGGGCCCGCAGTAGCAGCGGAAAAACACTCAAGTAGCAGGTAGGTCGGTACCACAGCCAGTAGCAGTAGATGTGCCGGGTACTCGAGGCCGAGCAGAAGAAGACAAAGTTGGCATTTTTAGGGGCCCAGTAGCGGTAGGCTAGGTCTGAGTCTAGGGCCTGTACGGGCAATATCAGAGTCGGCAATAATGTTTCCCTCTGAAAGGGAGGAGGTACCGGTTGCTTGGGAGGCCGAGCGGCCTGGAAGTCACCGCCCAGGAGGCAAGTAGGCCGCTATATCAGCAGGCGGAGGGAAGAGCCTGGCCTCATTCTTCAGCGTGCAAGTTTGGCGACACGCTGTTGGAGCGCTAACTGGAGGAGCGCTGGCTACTACAACGCTGCTGGGAGGAAGAAGACGGGAGCTTCCACCTTGGCTTCGGTGGAGCTCTACTGGTAGGAGGAGGAGGGAGAAGAGGACCAAGGAGGAGAGTGGCGAGGTACCTACCTGGCTATGGTGGACACCATCTTCATCACCTTGATAGGCGCTGCATCTGGAAGGCCCCAGTTGGGGTAGTGCCGCACCAAGGAACCTCGGGGCAGAGACAGGCATGGCGGCCTAATGAGCAGCCGCATAGCTGCTTTGCGTTGTCCTTCGCACAGGAAGGCCGCGACATAGCTGCTTTGGGTTGTCCTTTGGACAGGAGGGTTGAGCCCTCAGTAGTTCGCCATAGCCTCGGCCTACATGTGAGAGGAAGGAGAAGGGTGGCCATGGCTATGGTGGACCTCATGTTGTGCCTGCAGTAGAAGAGGGATTCGGACATTGATTCTGGTTCAGCCATTCAACATTATTATTGTTATTTCTTATTTGAATAAGAGGGGAGGAGATAAGGAGGAGGAGATTGGTTGGCGAAGAAGAAGAGCATTATCTTATCTTTGGTCTATGCTGGAGTACATCATCTTCTTCTTCTTTCTTTCTTCTTCTTCTTCTTCTTCTTTCCCTCTCTCTCCTCTCAAGTTCATTCATTTCTTTTTGCAATTGGACGGCATTGTACTTTCTGATGAATGTACACTTCTTCTTCTTTCTTACTTCTTCTTCTTCTTCTTTCCCTCTCTCTCCTCTCAAGTTCATTCATTTCTTTTTGCAATTGGACGGCATTGTACTTTCTGATGATTGTATACTTCGAAATTGGCCAGGATCGTAACAATACCCTACAAAAAAGAAACAGAAAAAGTGAACAACAAGTGAAACAGAGCTAACAGTGGATCGTCCTTCGGGACATCCGTTAAAATTGGAACGATACAGAGAAGGGTAAAGTAGCAAATGGCCCCTGCACAAGGATGACACACATAAAATTGCCTTCATGATGTTCTAACCATGCTAATTCTGAGAACCATGAAGATTGGAATATTTCTGGAAATCTGAAAGAAAGAAGAAAAAAAAAAGTGCAAATCTGCGAAACAATGAATGCACAAGCTAACAAAAAAAACAGCGAACAACAAATAGAACATGATTGTAAGTGTGCCAGCGGCCTAGCTCAGCTGCTAGAGCACGTAAGGGGCATTCAGGAGGTTGTGGGTTTGATTCCCCACGCCTTCCGTTCTATTTCCCACGACCTCCTGCAGCGCGCTTCAAGCACTGGCTGAGACAGTTGGCTTGCCCCCCCTCGTCGGTCTTCGAAGAGGCTTTGCCTTAGTTCCTTCTATCCCTCGCTAGGGGTTAGGCTCAACGATAGTGGTAGATCTCGGATTGATTGCGACACCCTGGGGTAAATGTGGGCTGTGGTATGCAGGTAGGTAGTGTGAGGTGTAGATTGAGAGAAGAAAAAGAAGAACAGGATTGTAAATCATGATCTCTTTTTTGTTAAATCAAAAATAAAAATGTTTGCTGATCAGCTCTATCAACACGGAAATAGCCACACATCTGAGTGGACAAATGCAATGCTCCAATCAATAAATCAATGGTGGGTAGCCAAAGATGACAACCACCGTGAGAGAAGCTGGCTGGAGGCTATGGAAAAGAAGCAAGAATTTAAGTGAGAATGGATGAGCGGAAGGTGTGAGTCTCAGACTTTCAATGCACTGAATGCAGTTAGATAATCCTTAAGGTTATGAACGAATGCAAGGTCAGTAAATCAAGTTAAAACCTTAATACGCTTTAACAACTAAGGGGAAAAGGAGGAGGAGGGGGCGGGAGGGGTGCGGCAGTAAGGAGGGGGGTGGGGGGGGACAGTAAGTAGGGGTTTGGTTGGAGGAGGGGGATTGTCTGGAGACAGACATTCAGACCAAGATCCCAACCACCCAGGACTTCGCAGATGTTTCCCCAGAACTGTAGGATGGACACTATTGGCCTAAGGAAGGAGGACGTTATGAACTTGGTTATCTGACAATTTTCTCGCCACTCACACACAAGGTATCTCACACATGCCCATACATGCACAAGACAAGGGGGAGGAGAGACAGAGTCCAAACTGTACACAGACCAGAGATAAGCAGCGGAATAGCAACCATGCACAGATGGGGAGAATACACACAGTG